AATTTTGACTATGAAATGTAATTTTAAAATATCTTTAAAATATTAAATTTTAAGATTAATTAATAGATAATACTATCCAACAAACAACTTGTTAAATGTTTGTTATCATTTTGCCTTCAAGACAACGACGTTAAAGACGTCATAATTTAATTTCAAAATGTCTCGCATTTAATTACATTTATTATTCTCGATATGCAGCCAAAACGATCGATGTCATCGTTTTTCATTTATCTCCGAATCTATCGGACCACGAAAATACCCAAGGCCGGTCATCTTTAGTAATAGCTCGTCAGTATATTAGCAACTAAATATAGATGGCATACAATTTGTCATTTACCGACTGCAAGTAAGATAAATTAGATTTTCATAAAAATTAATATATCTGGTAAAATGTCTATTTTTTATTATTCTGGCTCCTAAAATTAAGGTTAATGCATACGATGTAATAAGTTGAAATGAAACAAATATATTTGTTTCAATTCAATTTATGAAGTCTGTTCGAATTGCTTACATTTTTTTACACTTAATATCTTCGCTTTCTCTCTTTTTAGCGCCAAATATATATCTATCTTTTAAGTGTAAAAAAAGTGTGAGCAAGTCGAACAGACCAATTGTACTAGTTCAGAAAGTGCAAGAATAAAGAACCTATCCAACTAACCTTATGATGTAAATGGTGTTCACTCTGTCACGATCTGTTGATTTTACTAAAACTATTCATAATTCTGACTTGAATTAAACTTGAATTAATTAGAAATCGTGTAACGATATGTCGATTAAGCAAGGTGCACAGGTAATATAAAATCATTCTATCAGGCAATTCAAAGATAGAAGATTATCTCTAAACCTCACGTAGTGATACTACAAATATCATACAATTTTTCTAAATTAACAATATTATCCGGTTGTCATTATTATTGTAAATTTTTTTATTTATCCATTTATTACATTTATTTACTATGTATTAAAATCAACATTTCAAACTTATTGCATCTTTAATTAGAAAATATATGATATTATTTGCAATATCTACTAATATTACTAATTGTTTGCAGTATCTTAAAAAATTAATAAATAAAATGTTTAATATGACTAAAAAAATTTAAATAAATCAAAATAATATATGATGATTGTCATCAATAAAACGCAAATAAAATTGTTGTAGCGGTTATATAACATGCCAAAAATAAGTCGATGGAGTAATGGAATTGGTGCCGAATTGCCACAAGAATATAAAAAATTCTGGAAAGAATGGAAGTTGCAACAACCGGCTGCAGTTCATTATATTAAGAAGGAAGGCATTTTTGAAAGAAATGAAGAAACTGGAGAAGTGTAATATATCTTTATATCTTTTTGATGCCGCCATCTAAAAAAAAAATATCAAAAAAATACATCCCCCTTAAAATCCTTGTTTCATTTTTATCTAAAATATTTTTTTGTGTTATCAATTTCGAGTAAAATTGATTATTAATTAAAATGAGGTATCCTGTATGTATTCTTATATATACACATCTTTTTCACTTGTTATAATTTTATTAATTATAATTTAATTAATTTGTTTATAGATATCCAGTGCAAAATGTACCAATACCTATAATGTATTCGAAAGAAATTGATGATGGTATATGGGGAGGAGAAGCCATTGTTCAGGGTTTTAAGAAAAAAGGCTTATTTAAAAGAAGAGTTCCACATTTTTGGATACCAAGTCTGTACAAGTCTATTATCTATAGTGAAGTTCTTGATACATATATGAGAATTGTTATTACTCAGAGAACACTCAGATTAATTCATGAAAATTATGGATTTGATCACTATTTATTGAAGGTGCGTTAAACTTTGGGCTAACAAATAAAAAAAGTTGTAGTACTGCACATATTGCAACACTTTTGACTGATATATATAATTTTTCTCATGAATTATCTACAAATTATTATTTACAGACACCAGCTTGCGATTTGAGATCTCTGCTTGCTTTGAAACTAAAACGTCAGATACTTATTGCACTAGCAGATAAAACTTTGTATCCTAATGATCCAAAAAAGCATACGGAAGTATACGCCAAGTACGAGCAGTATCTTTCAGCTGTAAGAAATTTGTTTATACATTTTACAAATTAAAAATTATGTATAGGGTGAGATATTTTAAATGTTATAAGTTATTGTCCCTAAAATATGTGTTTTCTTTACCAATTGGTTCATCTCATTATTCTGTGCATAAAAGCATTAAGCCATTTTTAAATGAATAGTTCAAAATATTTTGTATTTTATGTCAAATATGCAAGAATAAAATATAAAATATTTCGTAAACTATTGATTTTCGATATCTCTGTTTTATATGCAGAATATATATAGATTTAGAGAAATCATGTAAAAGAAATACAATACCAAAAAAATAGCTATAACTTTTATATGATATGAAATGAATTGATTTTTCCATTTGTATCAGTCATGTCCATTTGTGTCAGGCCATAGAACTTTTGTCTGAATATTTTTCTGTTTTTTATATTTTTCAAAATATTTCGATGTGAAAATTAAATGAGATACCCTGTATATAAAGATACTAAAAACTAAAATATTTCAATATTGATAATTGACATATTTTATATTGCATAGAATATATATATATATATATATATATATATATATATATATGTAATTGTTAGTACAATATATTTTCAGTATACAAGAGAAGAAATAGAATGGTATGGTTTAACATACAAAGAAGCTTGTAAAAAGTGGATACAATTAAATGCGAAACAACCACAACCTTTGAAAATCCAATATAGATCAGAATTAATTGCCAAACTCAAGGAAAATAAAATCAAAGAAGCCGAAAACGTAAATGTTGTATCACCAGAAAAAACGTATGTAATTATGTGTATTATTTTTTTTTTGTTACTATTCCAAAATTTACAAGTGAAATTTTTCCACAGGAGTTCTTGGATAAACAAACTGAATCCTTTCTCCAAAAGTTCGAAAACCCAATAAGTAAATTTCTGTTTGTTAGATATATCATAAAAAATGTTTTACATCTATTAAATTATTAATTTCTTGGATATTATGAAATTTTTTTTTTTAGAGAGAAATACATATCTTTTGACAATTATAAATATGAGTACAATGGAGAAAATAAAGGATTTATTAAAACTATCAATGCACATGATTTACATTCTTTTAATGGATGATTTAATTTCTAATTTTTCTAAAATTTGCAATAGGTTTCGATAACAAAGCGTTAAATTTTAACATTATATTATTAATATTTGTAAATTATATTACGGACTATATACTAGAAGCATGCATTTTTCAATTAAAATTAAAATATATAGTTACATAATCATTACATAATGGAGATTATTATACACAAAAAAATCACACTGCAAATTTGTCTAAAATGTTTGTATTGTAATATTTCTGCCACAATTATAGATTATTTATTTCTAAAATTATAGCTAATTTATATCTATTACGATATTGAGCATTCTAAGTCGCCATCTTTTGGTAGACAATCAAGTATCACAGCGACAGCCCTTGTAATGTACGTCATCGTTCCATAACTTCCACTAGGAGCAGTATCGTAAAAGTGTTGACAAATATATGCTGCTCCACCACAGAGAAGCGTTCCCATAGTTGTCATTTCACGTTGCTCTTTTGGTTTTGCACAACATAATGTTGCATCACCGTCGATAGCCATCTACAAATTTCATTTAATTATCTCTTATTTAAAAAATATAGAAGAAAAAAAAGAGTAGTTTTTTTTAAATAATTATTCTTTTATGTATGTGTATTTCCATATACATTATATATTAGAACCATTTATGTTCTTAATATAAAATATTTATTTCAATAAAAAATAATTTTTAATATTGAAAAAGATTTATTTTAGGTAAAATAAATCGATAAAGTCAATTTCAATTCTAATAAAATAAGTATTATTTTAAATCGTTAGTATCAATAAATGTCTAAATTGCTGGTAAGGACAGTTACTGGACAACTGTTTCTATATTTCGTATTTTGTATTACATTTTTGCTTCAGAAAAATGCAATAATTATATAACAAATATTGCTGCATTATTAATATTATAAATATAAACAAAAAATACCTGATCTTCCAAGAAAATAGCGTTTGCTTTATGTACTAAATGTTCAACTTCAATCAGACCACCTAAAGATGGCACAATGTTATATTCAGTTACTAATGTTAGTACCATTAAAGCCTCAACAACAAGTTGACGATATTCTGGCTGCGGTATAGTATTCAAAACGGTTTCTACAGCCAATGCAAATTTCAACTCGCCAGATGTCATTTCCTGTGTGAGATTTTGAGGCAGTACTCTTCCTTCAATGGCTAAACCGTGACACTGTTAAAAGTTATAATTTTATAGAATTAAAATGTTGAAAATTCAAGATATTATATTTATATACTGTATTATTG